TTCAGGGTTTTTTTTTTTTTTTTTTGTGTGCACATTCAGGGTTGTTTCCTTTGTTTTCTTTTATGAGGCAATGTTTGTCCTCTTTGTAGTACTTCCATTACGTTTACTAATAACAAACCAGTAAAAAAAAAACCAGAAAAAATAGTTTGGGAACAAGGAAAATATCTCTTATATTCGATGCTCTTGCCTTTCTTGGTCATCATCTTAATATCTCTTTTTCTTTTTGATCATCACAACTTCATTTCCAACTCCTATTGGAACATTTATATTTGTATTGATACTGACAGAAATCTTCTCATTTAATGGCATATGATTTGTTCACCCGCTGCCTATAAGCCATCTCACTATTGGTTCTTGTCTTTTTATCTTGATGTAAATATGTGATTTTCAACTACTACATCATCCTGGTCGTCTTTGTGACACCCCTTCTTCTCTTCTTCAATTTCTTTCTTGTTCTTTTTGGTTCAATGAAACCATTGCCTTGGTTTCTTTGTCATTTGCCTTTCTTCTTGTTGCACTTTTTTGGCATACAGCTTTGGTTTCATTCAGAGTGGCTCCATGGATCAAAAGAAGCTCCGATACTATGTTGAAATCTTTATATAAAACAGGGTTAAGTAGTTTGATTTTCATCACTCTGTTTTTGTGTAGCAATTTTGGTAGTGTAAGTGTTTGAAAACAAGTTTTTTTTCCTAAAGCTTAACTCATTAATTTCTGATAATATTATAAGCACACACTATTACAAGCTTACAGAGAACATTTCAACGGATCTTACTAGCACCTCTTAGCTCTAGCTGAAGGTTTTGCCTACACACAACTACAACAACTATTTCTGACACTTAAGAACTATATATAACAGAGGAGACCAGCTGCAGCCTATGACCAAAAGAGATAGTTTGTACATGGCTAATACAATCTTTTTTCTTCTTAAAGAAAGGTCATAACCAACTCTACAAACATTCAAAAGCAAAGTAGTAGGATCACCAGGCTAGTGTTAAAAATCTTCAATTATTAATTTAGCTGCATCCACTCGCCTAGTAGCGGAAGCTACTACTACAAAAATGACAGCTAGTACGAGGCCAAATAAGAGAAGCCTTCATGATCTCCACAGAAAGATCTGGATGGTTGACAACAAACAACCTGAACTCAGCAGAGCTAGCAATGGTGCTTATATTGTTCTTGATAGCAGTGAAAGCCGCATCGTTAAGGGCTTTGTCAAAAGGGATTTGAGCTAGCTCAAGGATGTTAAGAGCGTTGGACGCGTTAAGAGATGATATAAGCTGGTTTCTACAAATGTCACGCAGATGCGGAATCTCATACTTGTCTGCTGCAAGATAGAGTGACCTAACATGTTTCTTGAGAGTTTCAGAAGTAATGGAGCCATCAACACTGTAAATAAACTGAACTAAAGCCTCAAGCTCTTCGTGTTTCATCTCGGAGAAGGTGACTGTCTCTAGCTTAGATGAAGACTTCAACTCGTCTGATTCCATCATCTTCTTCAACACCATTGATCTTGATGCCTATTCAAATTCAATACATGTTAAAACTACATATAGCCTTAACAATAAATCAGCATTTCAAGAGGAGGAAGTAGAGAGAAAACCAGAACAAGTTTGTGAGCGGAGATAGTTGCACCCTTAGCACTGTCTCCTGCCTTGAGGAGTACATCTACTTGCCATTGTTCTTTAAAGAGTTTCTTTAATCCACCCAAGAAGATCTCTTTGTTGCTCTGTGTAGCCATTGCAAACCTGATAGTGATGTGGAGGGATACTAGTTAGTGTACACAGATTTAGCAGTCACATACATGGAAAACGACAAGCAGACAACACATAAGAGCAGACAGTATATAACTAAAGCTTAACTAAACTAACAAAGAGATTTTTGCAAAATAGACATGCGAAACTTCGAGTCGGAATCAAGAATGTGTTTACTTGGTACAAGAACTGCTCAGATAACTAAGAAAAGTCGCAAGTACCGGAACAATCGAGGAGATGGTGGAGACGACTCTGTTACGCTTTTTGTAGGGTTCTAGAAGCCACTTCTCTCTTCTTCTTCGTTGTTAGCGAGTCAATCTATAATAATTCTTTAAATGAATTAGTATTACTATTTTAAACATATTTACTTTCTGATTCTAAAATCACTATTCAAAATATTAATTGCGTTATTGATGCATTTTATTTTAAAAACAGTTAAAACTACACAATTTCAAATCTCACAATTTTAGATAAAATTCTGAATATTTATTTAGAATCTTAACAAATCTGTAATTCATACGCAAGCTCCAACACTTCCTCATCTTTTCTCATACAAAAATTTTAGTTTTGAATGTTACCAAATCACCCAAAACAATATAAAAGTTTTTTTTGAGAAATTTTATGAAATACCATAAATTGACTATCATTTTGTAAATTACTTTTAATAAAAAATACTTTAATATTTGCATTTATAGTTTAGTAACTATTGTTTGCGGCTTAGTATTTAAGTGGTGGAATTGAGATTATAAATTTCTATAAATAATTATTAAAATTTTATAAATGATTTAACATAGTTATTTTAGTTTTTGATCACAAAATTTAAGGTATTTATGAAAAAATAATTTTATTTAAAGGGAAATTTGTCAAATATGACTTAAAATTTGATTTTAAATGCAAAGATATATCTCAACTTCAGTCAAATGTAAAAATAACTCAAAATACTAGTAAAATTACAAACATCTCCTCATGACCAAACAAAAAAAATAGGATTGCAGTTTACTATTATAACTTTACAAGTGAGAAAATTTTCAAGAGAAGACATCCCTGAAAGTCTTCTCATGGTGTAGATTTTAGTTTATAAATTTTATAAAACATATTTTGATTAGTAAAAAATCATAATCATGTAATTATATAACTAATGTAAATTTAGATTTACTAAAATTGAATGGTTTTCAACATAGATGAGTGAATGTAAGTTAATCATGATATTATTTGGTTTATGGTTTGGTAACTATATTATAGTATTGTATGTGTTTTTAGTGTTAGATTGTGAAATCTTACATTTTTGTGTTTAGTTTTATGTATATTAAACATTTATAAGTTTATTTTAAATTTAATAAAGTTTTTCTATGTGATTTAGTTATATATTTGATTTTGGGGATTTAGAAGATTTAAATTTTTGAAGATATAATGCACTGGAAGACTTACTGGTTGACTTAGCAACAGTTTCCCGCATAAAATTTTAAAAGAATTTAGGTTTCCGGCGTAACATTAAGTCTTCCAGTAAGTCTTTCAGTGAAAGTCTTCTAGTATATTAGTTCTCAAAATAATTTCTAAATTTCATGATAGGAGAAAAATCATAATCATCTAATTATAGATATTTGTAACTGATATAAATTTAGATTTAATAAAATTGAATTATTTTAAACATAGATGAGTGAATGTAAGTTAGTTATCATATTTTTTGGTTTAGGGTTTGGTAACTATGTTATAGTACTGTATGTGATTTTATGGTTAGATTGTGGAATCTTAATTTTTTTTTTAAAAAAAAACTGAATTTGATATATATGTGTTCAGTTTTGTGTATATTAAACACTTTACAAGTCTATTTTAACTTTAATTAAAAAATTATATGTGGTTTAGTTATATATTTGATTTCGGGGTTTTGGAAGAGTTAATTTTTTGAAAATATAATGCGCTAGAAGACTTACTTATAACTTAAAAACAACTTCCCTCTTAAAATTTTAAAATAATTTATGTTTTCCCCTAAAATAAAATATTCCAATTATAAGTATTCCAGAGAAAGTCTTTAATGTACTAGTTCTTAAAATAATTAACTAAAACTTGATCTGCACTCCCGCGCGGATGTTTGATTTAACATGTATTCAATGAAAACTTATAAAGCGCTGGTTTTATAGAAAGTTATATATATTTTTGTGTTTTGTAATTACATATAGAGTAGAACATATTACTTTATAATATAATTATTTAATAATAATTTTTTATTTGTACATAATATTATATTAGACATTTTATAACTTGTTGAAATTTGATATAACTGTAATATTCATATATTAATATGTTGTTTTTTGTTAATTTATTTTAAAGTAAAAGAACATACTAAAAATTAATTTTTGCATTAGTTTTATATGAATTATCATTAATTTTATGACGTTTTGTTTTCTTGACAATTAAACTCTCAAAATTTTATATTTGACTAAATTGAATAAGGTAATACTATATTTAAAAATTATTTTATATAATATATACTATATATTTCATTTTATGTTTTTATTTTCACCACAAAGAAAGAAAAACAATTTTTCTTTAATTAATTTAAATTGATTTTAAATGCAATGGCATATTGTGTAGATAAAAAGAAATACAAAAAAAGAATTTAATCTATTATAAATGTGCAAATAAAAGGAAGTACTTAATCTGATATCCATGTTTTTAAATAATTCTCATTTATCCTGCTATCTTTGTTTCCAAACAGTACCAAAAAGTATTTCAGTTTTAATAATATAGATACATTTCATAAAAAATATTTTGATAGGGGGAAATCATATCATCTAACGATAAACATTTGTAAGTGATATAAATTTAGATTTAATAAAATTGAATTATTTTTAACAAATTGAATTATTTGTTAGATTTTGAAATCTTAATATTTTAAAAAAAAATTAAATTTGATATATAAGGGTTTAATTTTGTGTATATTAAGCACTTTATAAGTTGGTTTAGGTTTAATGAATTTGTTTTTCTTCTTTGAGATTTAGTTACTTGATTGTAGGGCTTGGATGACTTATTGAAAAGTTTTCTAACAAATAATGCACTAGAAAACTTCAATGTAAATCTTTTGGATGAATAATAAATTTAGGGTCTAGAAGAATTTTTGGAAGACTTACATGAAAATCTTATGTATCGAAAATATTTAATATAATTGAAATTTTTATCTTCCTATATAAAGAAAACATTTACACATTCTTTTTTTTTTCTCAAATGGAGACAACAAAAATGTAATATTTCTCACTCTAAAACTCTCTAACCTCTCTCTAAACTATTTGAATTTGATAATTCAAATAGAACAAAGAGAGTGAAGGATTCTAAAAGAAGCAAAGATGGCGACTGATATATAAGCAATGCACCAAACGCCTAAACCGAACAACACACTCAGAATGTCGCAGGAACCCATAGACCAGAAGAAATCAACAGAACCCATCTCAGCACCAAACTTTATATTAATTTCTCATTTTATGTGTTTCTCACTATTTTAACTTGTTTTTGCAGGTTTTTCATTACATAGTTGTCATCTTTCACTAATTTAAAGGTAGATCTATAAATTTTGGATATGTATTTGTGTGTCATTTAAATGTTAGTTCTAATAAGTTATAGATTCAACATAAAGTGATTGTTTTAGTTATTATATAAGCTTTAAAATATTGTTTTTCTCTGTTTTGATTTCATTTGAATGTTTTTGGATATGCTGGTTTTTCATATTTGAGTCAGACATTGGAATACTTACATAAGACTTTCAGAAAACGTTCAAAAGACTTTTCTAGAAGTATTCTGACGTAGTCCTCTTCCATGTCTGCTCTTTCATAACAGATATGAGTGTTTTGATATGTTTTCATGTCTGATTTTCTTTCATTTAGTAATTTCTTGTTGCATAAAACTCTTACTTTTTTTCCTTAACTTAAATTCTCCAACCTCTTTTAATTTTTTTAAACATGAAAACACCAAACTTTATATCAATTTTTTTTCCTCATGTTTTTCTTACTTATTTATTTTGTTTTTGCAGGTTTCATCACATTTTTGAATTTATAGGTTTTTCATATATGAGTCAGACTTTGGAAGATTTGAAGTATTCTTGGAAATCTTCTAACAAATAATGCACTAGAAGACTTCTAGGAAGATTTCTAATAAATCTTTTCTCATATCAAACATGTGGTATTTCTGAGATGTTGGGTTTACGTTGTTTAGGTTCTTGGACAATATATATATATATATAGTGTGACAATCCTTCATTCATGAACTAGATTTTGAATGTGAGGTACGCTCATTACTAAATTATATATAGCAGTGGAGCCATAATAAAAGAAAGCAACGAAGCCTTTGAATGGTGGAAACAAGTATCAACAAGGTCATGTTGAGTCGAGTAATATGTAGCAAACATTATCTTCAACAGTTTTAGCAGTATGTGCCACTTTTCCACTGACTTTGTTTGAGGCCAAGAGAAGTATAAGACTAATATGAAGTGAGAAAGAAGCTTTTCCTATGAGTGGTTATATCAATGTCCTTGTCATAGATATCTTAATATGTAAGCTAAAGTTACCTCAAGCTCATGTCTCATCTCTCTGCAAGTTGCTATATGTAGCCAACGAGGAAGGTTGTCAAATCGTTTTCACTCGTATCCTAAACCCTCGTGCACTTATTTGTGATCAGTAACTCTCTCTTGTACTCTATAATCAAGACTCTAGTTAATCAAATGCTATAAAACGTGGTTGGGTGTTTCTGGACTTGTTTTTGGGGATTGTTCACCACAGTCGCACTAAACGCAAACGCATAAGATTTATGTTGGACTATAAACGATAAGGAAATATTCAGTATAGTTAGAGATGTTAAATTTTTGGAATTATGACTTTAAAAATTAACTAGATTATGATAAAAAATTATATAATTGGGTTTTCTTTTTATTTAAGTATGTTTTGGTATAAAATCAGTAATCCAAAATTTATGGTGGTGATTATTTTGCATTACTTTTTAGTTTTAGTTTTTATTTTTAGATTTGGTTTTAGATTTTGGTTTTTAGTTTTTAAGATTCTATTTTTGATTTTCAGCTTTTGGTTTGGGTTTTTAGTTTTAGATCTGCTGAGTTAGTTTGACCTGATATTACCAACAAAAAAAACTCAAATAATCGAATATCTAATTTAAAACTGAAAAGATGACAAAAAATTTTTTTAACAAAAATTGTAATAGTTTATTTTGTAAATAAACAAAAACAAAAATATAACCTGCGTTTTCAGCTTTTGGTTTTGAATTTTAGTTTTTAGATAT